AGGGATACGGGATGTGGAAGTCCTGCTCCCAGTGCTGGACTTGCTCCTCGATGAAGGTCTCCTCCTTACTCTTCTCGATGGCGCCACGGTCGATCTCGGCAAGCACCTGCTTGTACAGGCCGATGTTGCGGCCGCACTTGCCGAAGAGGTCCTGGTCAAGGTCCGCACCCTCGCCGGAGGGAGGCTCCATGCTCAACTTGGTGAAGCGAGGTCCCTGATTTAAGTTGAGGAGAGTCTGGGCACCGGCATCGGAGTTCACGACGAAGATCACCCTCGCTTTGCCTTCGCGAGCCTGCGTGTTGGTCAGGGAGTTCGCCCAGTCCAATGCCTCTTTCGGAAATCGCCGCAGAAGCTCCTCGAACTGATCCACGATGATGTAGCACGGCTTCGGGGCGATGGGCAGGCCCCAACCGTGTAGCCAGACCCGCAGGTGCTGCTTCTCCCTGTAGGTGTTGACGGCGTACTGGGTCTCCGAGCCACCCATGTTCAGGTTGCCGAAGAGCTGGACGGTGTGCCACTTTTCGAAGTTGCTGACGGCCTTGCCGTGCCCGCCGTTGAAGTACAGGCCGTAGTAGGCCCATGGGCCTCGCCGATGGTACCATGGCAGGGCCGTGCAGAGAAGGGTTGTCTTGCCCTCCTTGTTGCGGCCCTGCAAGATCAGGGCTTTCTGTTGGTGCAAGGCACGGTAGGGATCCGTGGTCATCTTCACCCGAGCGCCTACTAGAGGCCCTGCTTCTTCAAGGAGTCGGTCATAGAGTCGAACCACGGGCCTCACGCTCTGGTTATGCCTCGCGGTTGCGGCAGCCAGGCCCACAACCCCTAGACCAAACAACGACTTGAGATCCAGAGCAGTGCCCAGACCAGTTCTGATCACCCCAAGAAGTTCTTGGACGCTCTGCACCGGGGACTTGTCATCGGACGGGCCCATGGCGTCTCAAGATGTGGAGAACTGTCGTGGGGCGTGCTTTCAGGTGCCTGCGTCGAAGCCTTGCATTGCCGGACTTGTTTATGACGCGTTCTCAAAGCATGGAAAGGCAGTCCCGGCTGACATGGCTGCGCGACAACACTTGGTTAATCTGAAAGAAAGATGAAGCGCAATAGAATCTGCGGGCAACACTGAGGCTTCAACCACGCTTGCGCGAAAGCTTGCCGCAAACCCACCGCGGCCTTGTCAAAGCTGCTACGCGTACAACTCGGCAAGCCATGTTTACAACTCCAACCAATCCCGGTCCGTGAGCCCAGCACGCCCGTGTGCTACGCGCTGTGAGTTCTGATGACGATCCGGGCGCACCTGGTTCACGGCTTGCTTGGCCCTCTACCTTTTCGGGAGGGGCGGCCTACGAGGGACGCGTGGGAACTCCTGCGAGCCAGTCAGGCAACAAGAACCTCACACCCCGAACCTTCGAAAAACAAACCTTTCTGAGGATCGGCGCCGAGCGACAAGTTCCACCTGCGAAGCACGAG